CCCGCGACCCCTGACCCCCCCCGGCCCGCTCTTACTGTCCAGATAATGTTCCAAATACATCCCAGCAGCCATCTTGAAGCAAAACAAAGCAACTTCCGGTTCGCCTCGGAAGTGACTGACGCGTAGGAGACAGCACGGACGCCGCCGGCGCGACGCTGAGGTAAGACGGCTTCCGCCCTTCCTTCAGCCTCTCGCACGACCTCTTCCGCCCTCACCCGCCAGCCGCGCGCACCTGCGCCCCTCGCCCGAGCCTTTGCCTGTGACGTACGTCCACGGCGACGGCCCCCAGCGAGGCCACTTCCGCCCGCTTCTGCCCTGACTGCGGCGCCGCGCGCGGTCGTACGACGTCACGGAAGGGCGCCATTTTGCAGTCTCCCGCTTAACTTTTCCCTCTTTTTTCGTTTTCCCCCTCCAAACCCAGACTGGGCCCCAAGGGGGGGCGAGCAGCCGCGCCGTGCGGGGTCGCGGCCCATCCTCCCTCGTCAGCAGGTGGAGACGCCACACTTCATTCGTTCCTTTGCGGAGCTGAAGTCAAGATGTTCCCCCAGGACAAGTTGGGAAGGAGCCACAAAGGTCCAGAACTTTCTCCAGAGTCGTGGCGTTCCCAGATGTCCCCTCACAGGAGCAGCTGGACCTCGAGCCCAGGGCCTGGCGCACACTGCCCAGCGCCCTGCCACTGAGCTATACCCCCAAATTAGTTGCCGTCTTATTTATAAGGGTGGAGAACACAGCCCAGGTGAAATGCTGTAGCCACAGCTCCATGGTGTCTCGTCGGAGCGGAGGTTCACGGGGTTTTCCTGCCCAGGCTGGCCTCGAACTACCATCCTCAGGTCTCAGCTAGGAGGACAGGTGTGAGGCACCTGCACTTTGGATCAAAGTTTATGTCCTTCTTTGCAAATGTGGCTTCCAATGGAAATGACGTACTACTTACTTCCCTCCACGCTTTGGTCTCCTTTTGTATCTCTGGCCTAAATGATGCCAGCATTCTGAAAGGCCTGGGAAATGGAGCTCTACCGTAACTGGGTCAGACATGCTAGCCAAAGAACAGATACTGTGCATTGCACTCAATGGAAATCAGACCACAGCTGACTTGTGATGTAAAACCTGCCACAGTGATGTAAGACAGCACTAACCCTAACACACACCGCTATAATTACTGTTGTGCCCTGGCAGGCTTTTAAGCCACCAGCCCTTGGTTCATTTATTTGTGTACGTACTAAGGCTTGAATGTAGGACCAGAGCGGCATTTTTTCACTAAATTCTGGTTCTCGACTATTTGAGCCACACACAGCTCCACTTCTGGCTTTTAGCTGTTTTTTTTTTTTTGGAATTAAGTCTCATGGGCATTTCAGGCTGGCTCCAAACTATGATTCTCAGATCTCTGCCTCTGGAGTACGGGAGTAGCCTAGAAATGGGAGTTATGTGGGGCTCAGTCCCTTGGGTAATGTATCAGTTTCCTGCTATACAACAATAACAACAGTACGTACCTCGTAGCATTGTGTTAACGCATTACAAGAATATTCTGGTTCTAATTGTGGTGATGAAAGAAGAGAGAGCTGTTGGGCTATTTCCAAGTTGTTGGAAGTTAAGACAAAGTAGTTATTCAGGAAACTACCAACACTGCTGTATTTATTCTCAATATCAGACTACTAGCTGAGACTCAACCTTAGATATCTAGCTCCAAACTAAGTGGGCCTGATTTGTCCACACCCCACAAAGTAAGCCCAAGAGAACCTCCAATTGTCGTAAATGGGAGCTTGGACTTTTTCCAGTGGTTTAGTATCGTGTGTGCAGATGCTGGGGTTTGGGGTTTGAACTCAGGGTCTGGGCGCTGTCCCTGAGCTGCTTTGGTCTTAAGCCACAGCTTCACTTCCACTTTTTTTTCCCCACATGGATTTTTTTTTTTTTTAAAGTGGAGATAAGATTCTCACACTTTCCTGGCCTGGGTGACTTTGAACTAGGATCCTCAAATCTCAGCTTCTTGAGTAGCTGGGATTATAGGCGTGAGCCACCCAGGCTGTGTGTGGTAGGTGCTGACCCAAAGATCACACGCTCTACCACCTGCGCTGCATTTCCAGTCCTCTCAGTGCTTTTCCCAGAAAGGATTTGAGTTTTCAGCCATCCCTTCATTCCCCAGCTCCGGTGGGTAGCCCCCTGGTCAGTACCGCTTCCCACGGGGTGAGAGGCTCAGTCCTTCCCTGCTTCCCACACAGCAGCCTGGGGTGCTCAGCAAGCCGCGTCCACTGCTTGCTGGCGCTCAAGGACCTTCAGGTAATATCCTGCCAGGACCACAGCTGCGCATGCCCGCGTTCCTCAACCACAAGCAAGCTTTCACCTCTGCAAGGCGGGGGTGGAGGGATCAGGCACGTGGCATTCGTGCGCCTGACCCTTTTTTTTTGGGGGGGGTCCTCCCTCAGTATCTCCCCCCAAACAGCCTCTTCCCATGCTCGCTCACACCATCAGCTCCACTGTCTCTGCGCCTTTCACATGAATTTATTTCTATACAATGTTCTAAAAACACCCCTTTGCTTTTTGTACAGAAGGTTTTGCTTTTTTTTTTCATTTTGCAATTGCTTTGTTAACAACTGGGTTCCTGATTTATGTTTCTTTTCTTTTCTCTGACATCTGCCATGATTAAAAAAATAAAAGGGAAAAGGAAATAAAAATGCCATGGCCAGAGGACAAGGTGGAGGGGGGAGGGGAAAGGCAAAAAAAAAAAAAACCAACAAAAAACCAAAACCAAAACCATCAAATATGAAAATTCTGAGATAATGCATTTATAAACACAGAAATGGTTACAACAAAGATGGCCGTGATGAGCGGGTATATATATATTTATATATATATATATATATTTATATATAAATCCATGTCCAGCATCTGACCGTGGCACCATGGGAGATTAAGTTCAGTCCTGGGGTCTTAACTCTCCCTTCTTTGCACCGCCCTGGCTCTTGGGGGAGAGGGGGTCACAGAGGACAAAACTCCTCATAGCTTCTTGGCCCTGGGACGGGGTACAAGGCCTTGGGAGAGAAGGGGGAAGGAGGCTCGAAGGAAATTCATATCCCACTCTGAGCCTCCTGGAGGGAATCCACGGCCCCTTGGGGACCACCTCCCAGCCCCTGCCCCCCCACCCCAAACAAACAAACAGAAAGCGGTCCAAGCCTCCCGATTCCTCCCCCCATGAGCAACAGCAGGAGCGGAGCGGGGGGGAGGGGGCAGATGGCTCTGAGGAGAACGGGGAACCCTCTGTTCTTCGCAGGCAGGCAGGAAGGGGGCGACTTGCACTTGGGGCTCCCCCTTGTCTGTTCCTGGGGGGAGGGCCAGCCTCTAGTGTGCGACCAGCCCCCAGCTCCGAGGCCGAGGAGGAGGGAGGCCGAGGGCTGGGGCTGGACTGGCTTCTGTCCGGTCACAGCTCGAGCCTTCCCTTGAGCACCAAGCCCCCGTGTGAAAAGCACTGCTTGGTAGGGGCTGCGGGATGACGCCTGCGGCTCCGGACCCCTTGGCCAGTGAGGAAGGCTGTGGTTCCTTTTGGAGAGCGGTGGGGGGCGCGGATGAGAGCTGCGTCGGAGGCCCAAGGTTTGTCGAGAGAAGGGGAGGATGCCGCGGCTCCCGCCGGGGATGGAGGGGGCCGGGGGCCGGGCCCCCTCCTCGCCCTCCGGGGGAGGGGCGTCTGTCAGGAGGGCTGAGGGGCACCGAGAGGATCTCTACGAGCTGGCCAGGTGCTCCACCTGGATGGTGCTGGTGGTGACCGTAAGGCAGATGTCCTTATGGTGATCGGCCGTCTTATAGGGCGTCAGGTCGAAGGAACACTGGGGCGGGGGGTTGGGGGTGCTGTCCGCCCCACCGCCGCCCTGGGCGGCCGCCCCAGGGGGCTGGAAGTGCGG